TTAAAGACCCCCCCCCCCCCATCACTGCTTCTACCATGGAGTGTGTGTTTACATCTGTATCTGTGTTCGTTCGCTGACTCACTGTAAAGGTCGGATTCATCCAGGATCTTCTGACTTGATGATCTCCTCGATGACGTCTCCAAGGTGACCAAATCCCAGCACCTCGTAGAAAGGGATCTCCCTCCCCCTCGTTGTTCACTTTCTGGACGATGGCCAGGTGGGATTTACCTGGCGAGGAGAGCGAAGAGAGAGAGAGAGAGAGAGAGAAGAGAGAGAGAGGGAGAGAGAGAGAGCTGAAGGTTACCACCAGCCCGTGAGAACACTGCTGAAAAGTGTGGATTCGACATTTTAGGATTTTTATCCTCCAACACTCTGTGAAGAACTCAATCTGCCAGTTGAAGTAGGGCAGCATCAAACACGAGTGGGGGGGTGGGTGAGTGGGTGGTGGGGGTGGGGGGGGTGGGGGGGTTCACTGCAGCTGCTGCCTCCTAAACTTCAGCAGCTGCCCCTTCAAAACAGATTCAGCCCCCGCAACATGAAAACATCCTTTCTTGTTTCTGTGTTTGGAGGCAGCGCAGCGTCAGTCAGGCTGCCGTTGGATCTGTCAGTGGATTTATTCTTCCTGCTGCGAGGACAGCTGACGCCTTAATATAGCCCCAACTGAACTAAGAGCTTTGGAGGAAGAGAGTTGGAGGAGGAAATGCCAAACCAGATGAAGAGGAGAGACTGGAGGGAGAGGCAGGAGGAGGAGGAGGAGGAGGAGGAGGCCCGAGAGGGATGTGGCAGAGAGAAAAAGAGAAAACAACAGATTAATCCAGTCCTGGCTCGGCGCTTGAGCTCGGCCTCATTAAAACACACATAAAACCGTTTTGGCAACACACCTGACATGACGTGGACACCGACGGCTGCCAGTGAGAAACACTATTCAGGTCCAACGGGAGTCACAGTCACTGAGCTTCACACACCTTCATCTGTCTACATGTGTGTCGTATGTTGTGTGACGAGTCTCCAAACGTGTCCCAGTGACTCGGAGACAGACGCTCTGCTGTCGAGTCATGTGTCAGTTATTTTGTGTGTGACCGACACAAATAAAAATAATAAAAAGAAGGAAAAACGCTTTTATTTTAAAAATCTAACCTGATGAAAACCTGCAGGAAACTGAAACAGTAAGACGTCTGCTCTCAATATGATGTTTTTATATAATAACACACTGATGATGAAATAATCACCAACACCATGACTGAGTGTTTCCACCTTGAACTGCAGTGAACCCATGACGGTCGGATAAAAACAGATTCAGGGTTTCATACGTCACAAACCTCAGGAACCAATCCTGTCAACTTGTGGGGACGGGGGGGGGGTGGAGCTAAATCAACCTGAAACCTTCTCAGTAAAAAGAGAGAGAGTTAGCATTAAGCACTACTGCTAACACTGTGTCAGCCACTGACAGTTAGCACAGTAACACTAATTGTGTTACTATGTTAACTGTCAGTGGCTGACACAGTGTTAAGCAGTAGTGCTAATGCTAACTCTCTCCTTTTTACTGAGAATGGTTTCAGGTATGATTTAGCTCCACACCCCCCCCCGTCCCCACAAGTTGACAGGATTGGTTTCCTGAAGGTTTGTGACGTATGAAACCCTGATCTGTTTCTTTAATTCCGACCGTTCGATGGGTTCACTGCAGTTCAAAGGTGGAACACTCAGTATGAGTGTTGGTGATTATTTCATCTCAATGTGTGTGTATTATATTAAAAACATCATATTGACAGCACGACGTCTTTACTGTTCAGTTCCTGCAGGTCTTTTCTATCACGGTTTAGATTTTTAAAATAAAGCGTTTTTTCCTTCTTTTATTATTTCTATATTTGTTGTCGTCACACACAAAAATAACTTGACACAATGACTTCGACAGCAGAGCGTCTGTCCTCCGAAAGTCACTAGGCACGTCTTGGAGACTCGTCAATCAACATACGACACACATGGTAAGACAGATGAAGGTGTGGAAGCTCAGTGACTGTGACTTCCCGTGACAGGGGCTGATACGTGTTTTCTCACTGGGCAGCCGTCGGTGTTCACGTCATGTCAGGTGTGGTTGCCAAAGCGGTTTTATGTGGTGTTTTATGAGGCGAGCTTCAGATGCGCCGAGCCAGGACTGGATTAAATTTCTGTTGTTTTACTCTTTTTCTCGTCTGCCACGATCCCTCTCTGTGCT